AAGCCTTTTCATTACAGCGAGTATATCATAAAACAGAACTAAAAACTATAAAAACCAGAACTAAAATTACGGGTGCATTTTGAGAACTTAGAAGGCAAAACGAGTTAGATACATGTAGAAATGCACTTGTAATGAACAAGGTGTGTAACGGAGACAAGGACAGGAGCTTACTTATTACTTCAAGCTTAAATCAACGTTTTGAAAAAAGACAGCACAACTGGAAAAGGGGGGATGGTGGTGGTGGTGAGCGAGTGAGTGAGTATGGTTTTACGCTGCTTTTAGCACTATTCCAGGAATATCACGGCGGGGGACACTAGAAATGGGCTTCACACATTGTACCCATGTGGGGAATCGTACCCGGGTCTTCGGCTTTAACCATTAGACTACCCCACCGCCCCGGATAAGGGTGGATGCATGAATACAGGAGGTGTAGCTGATGGTGCCATCGTGGATTATTCTCTTAAAGTGCAAACATTTAATAATATGTTACAGTAAGCAGCATTATCCGAGATCCAGTTCAGAAAGGATGAGATACAGAATCTACAAAATACACGTTTAAAAATAGTGTAAACACAATTCCCCTAGTTCAGAAACTCTTGCATTCAACGGATAAATCAAGTTTCGAAATATCAAACAAACATCGCCTCTTACTCCTTAACCTAGGCTACAAGAAATGTCTATCTATGTGTGTTATACTGCTGCTTCCGATGGTCATATCCTGCTCTGTCATTTATCATTCAACACTGGTTTCCAGAGAAGATATCGCTTGTAGATCAAGCCATAACCCCCAAGAGATATCGTTGGGTAAGTTTTGAGCTAATCGCTCAATATTTTCTGACTACTTTCATCTCCCTCAGCTGTAAACAAAGATGGTCACCGTAATTAAGTGGGTTTTGTTAATGATTTGTTCACGACATAAAAGGAATGGTGAAACTTATGCATTGCAGAATTTAAAGCAATAAATGGTAGCGCTACTTTTTATGTGCTTGTTTTTTATGACGTAATGGTTTCACTCGTTCCCTCTTCCATCACTCTTGTTCACTTTGATGTATTCATATGCAAGCCTTCACATGAACTTGTTACAGGTGACGTTTCGTTTTAATTTCTCTTGAACGACAAATAAAGTATAGTATGATATTGGATGATAAATAGAATCTCACCGTTGTGTCTTTTGATCTGAAATATATCACCACGAGTTGATAAAGGTGAGAAATCTCCTTGATAAGTTGCCGAGTTTTCTGACTTTTATTAACTCGTGCTGATATATTTGATATCAAAAGACACTCTGGTGAGATTCTCTCTATGGATCTCTTGTTTTCTGTAATGGAGGCTTGTTTTGTTCAGCTCGCCAAGACCGTTATCTAATGTTCATCACTATACAAGTCTGAGGCTGCGACTGTAGCCCCTCAGCCTCTACACACAGCCCCTTCACCTTGACAATAAACCCTGCACACTGGGAGGTCACCACAACAAAAGCTATTGTCTTAAGCAACCAAGGGTCTACCTGTCTTCCCGCTGTATTTCTACATACGTCGGACTGAAGTGTTTACTTGAAATACACTCAACATTGACAGAGTCCCTGATGTCAACATCTTCTGCTCATAGTCATCTCGCCTGCCGTGTTTGCTGGGTAACATATACGAACAAACCCAGCACATCTGTAAACATTGTGGAGGACATCGATAATAACGGGAAAATAAACATTGTTCTTCAAGTGGCATTAAGAGAATAACGCTGCCTATAATAATACCTAACATATCCTTGTGTTTGTGATGTTGGTGTTGTGTGACCTTCACTGGATTCCATGTGGCAGATAAGCTAGCGACTGATGTTGCCAGGCATCAGCTTTACATTACAGTGTTCAGCATTTCACAAGTATATTGTAGGGTTAGTAAACAATTAAACAGAGTTTTGGAAATTTGGTACTTTGCTGATTATATTGTCACGTTTCTAGTGAGACGCTGCGGCTACCTAACATGACAAGGTGAGACACCTCACCGATAGGGTATATACATGTATTTACAGCAGAGCAGCTGAAAGACCATTTGAACCAATGGTGAGTGAATGGCAATATTCCAGCTATATGGCGGAGGTCTGTACATATACGAGTCTGGACCAGACAATCCAGTGATCAACAGCATGAGCATCGATCTACGCAATTGGGATACGATGACATGTGATAACCAAGTCAGCGAGCCTGACCATCCGATCCCGTTAGTCGCCGCTTACGACAAGCATGGGTTACTGAAGATCTATATTCTAACCCGTGAAGATCCGCTTCACGGGTTTGAAAAATGGTATTACAACACAACTGAAACCCGTCCAGCACAATGTTCAACGGCATCATGGCATTGATGAAGCGCCGTTATAAGGGATGATTATCGGGATGTCTCGGGGAAGGCTACTTCAATGGGTGTGGGCGTTTACTAGATATGATTATATTAATGCCATTGTTTGGTCTGACAACACTGAAACAGACGGGAGCAATATCCCTACTTTAGGCCCGGCAAGATGCGGGGTTTGTGACCATATTTCAGGCTATAAATCAGCCTAGTAGTGTTTGTACACACACTACACAGCTGATTCCAGCACTGTGTCTACTATTCTCCCCTGTGCCTACTGTTATCCCTGGCCTAAATATAAGATCTCTGTAGTAATCCTGCTCACGTCGAAAACCTGAAGGCATGTTACTGTAGATGGAATAACGATAAAACATTTAACACAATTCTGACTGGCTTCCTGTCATGGTGAATCATTTGTAAAACAACCATATTTCTGGCTGTTGTGAAATCAACCATGAAGCATCTGCGTGATTTGATTCATACAACACTGGAAGTTCCTCAGTCTACGGATTCGATGTTATCCACGGCTGATGCTTCACCGATAGTTCACTGAAGGTTCTAAGCATTTGACCGGTTTCTACACGTACCATATGAACACAAGACTTCTTCATCATTTGATTTAAAGTGTGTTCTGTCCCTGTCAACAAGGCAATAGTTTGGTCTCCCGTCGATATGGTCTCTTCCATAATCTGATGTATTGATAATCACAATATATTCTCAACCTCTGAGTAGAAACCTCAGATTGCCGACCACGACAGTGCCTCCACTTTCCGTGTAAGTGTACGAGCCGGTGTAACCTAAGTGGGCGGCTCTGGGAGCAATCACAGCCAGCCTGGGGCTGACAGCTGGGCGGTCCCCGTGAGGAACAACTGCAGGATGTGTTCACTGGTGACACGGCCAGAACACTTCAGCCGTACCCCGCGGACAAAGATAGAGGTTTAGTAGTTGCAGCACGCCACACATACTTTTTATAGCCGCCTCTGGGGGATATGTCCCTGACTTGCATTTACAATGTGTTGTCATGGAAACAATACTCCTAACTTCACACCTCTCATTCCACAGATACCTGCCTGTTGCTGGGAATGTGGTTAATTTAATGCGTCAGAACGTCTTCCGCTTCTGCTGACTGGAAACTAGCGTGTTCTCTACTAGAAAATCTAGTCCTTTCTAATTACATTGAATATGTAGCCATTGTTTAAAGTGCTGCCGTCTTAAGCCATAGATCAGTATCTACTTTGTCGATAGCAAGCCGAGAGGCGAGACTGGTGTACGGACGTTGCAGTGACTTAAGTTCCAAAGGGAGAAGTATCGAAACTTGCGACACAGAAACTTGCACGATAGGAACTATGGCCGCCCTAACATACCACAAGTGCAGTAACTGTTCTTTCCATCCAGACTAGAGGTATTTCCTGGGGCTAGATAATGTCGATTCATTGCCTTCTTGGTTTTGCGAATTAATTCTTACAGAAAGTATGAGTTGAGATATAATCCGCCTTCCCCGACTGCCGCCATGCCACTGCTGGCTGATATCGGGATGCTAATACTGGAGCGGGCACGGGGCCAGGGGCCAGGGAACCGATCAACTTCGTGATTATATTCTCACGAGATTTGCTACAGTGTGAGCACGTAATGAATGCCGGCAGAATTTCTGTCGGACCTAGCCCTTTTGTCAAACGTTGTTTTCGTGTTATCGCTGATACGACATCTGACAGGTGTGCGCATGACCTTGCAGTAGGCACAACAAACAACAGGCCCCACCTATAAGCCATGCACTACCTTAGTCCATATACCAGAAACAATGAGCACACAGATATAAACATTTATCCTAAATCATGTACGGATGTCCATCTCTGATTGACTTTGAACAAATTACCATGTATGCCCGGTGCACGGCCGTACACTGCCGAAGCGGGGTATAAATCTTTGCGAGGGAGAATAAATCATTTATACGCCGCCCGATGGAGAAGGCATGCATACACGGCAGTCAGTGAACCGTGGTTCGGATAGACGAGTCAGTACCATGTTGGTAAAATATATGATTGAATTTCAGTTTGTTTTAATGTTATATTTACATAATGAGAGATCTAAACATTCGGTAAGATAAATACCTTGTAGCATTACGATTCGGGGTAAAGGTGATTTTATGCGTCCCGTGTTAGGTTTTATCGACCGTATACACCTCATCACAATGCTACAACGCATAATATACATATTACAGATTATCCTACCGTACCATGCACGTGTAAACATTATACCACACTAGATCATGAACTGAGACGTCATTCGCTTGTTCATAACAGTGAATTACTTCTACTTTGTTTTGGCAGCAACAAGATTGCAGAGCATGTTTGGTTTGGTATAGAAGTTAGGTTGCAAAAGTTGGGGAAATTAGGTTGCAACAGCTGGTAGATAGTTGAGGCGTGAAGTTGATCCTCGTGTTGATGTCCACAATGATGTGCCTCAGTGACCACAACCATGCGCTACCCCTTGTCATGACAAAAGAAGAAATCAGTTTGACCAATACAGACACAGGCAGCAGCAGCAGCATCCCTGGTGGCGATGTTACTCGCCAATATGTCACAAGGTGAACAAAACGTTACAGGGTGATTGACAGTGTCAACCTCGCCACAGGTGTGGTAACAACGAACATTCTCCTACCTGTAACATTCGCCATTGTTTCACGCTGTGTAATCCAGGTCAGCTTGTAGGCAACAGCCGGCACACTTACTCTCCCAGGCTACGTCTGAAATTGAAATAAATGTTTTATTAGAATATTTCCCTGAAATCTCGCGATGACACACGCAATAGGGCGGTGTTAATTGCTGCCGGAACGCGTCGTCGCTGGGAGGTATCGGAATCCGGACTAAGTCATCCTGATTACCTGCCTCGTGTGTAGGTACAGGCCAGTGGTTGCAGTCGTAGTTCTGGGATACACACCGACATCAGTTGTGAACATTTACATTATTCATACCTGTGTTTAATTATAGATACAGAACCAGGTTCGAGTGTATAGTGTACGTAGCTGAGTCCATCATGATGTATGCGTTTGGAGCATGCGCGTGCGGAGTCAAGCGTTCTATACGTTACCTTATTATTATTATTATCATTATTATCATAGCATGACTGAATTGAAGTGTATGCGGTTGTAGGAGTGTGGTGACATGGGAACCTGCACAGGATTACAACGTTGTAACGATGGATCTTAGGGTTCTCAGGAAACTAGTCTGTAGGTTTAACGATGTATCAAGTGTTGACATCTGGCAGTACAGCTAGACGTCTGTATAACGATGTATCTAGTGTTGACATGTGGCAGTAGAGCTAGACGTCTGTGTAACGATGTATCTAGTGTTGACATGTGGCAGTAGAGCTAGACGTCTGTGTAACGATGTATCTAGTGTTGACATGTGGCAGTAGAGCTAGACGTGTGTGTAACGATGTATCAAGTGTTGACATGTGGCAGTACAGCTAGACGTGTGTGTAACGATGTATCAAGTGTTGACATGTGGCAGTAAAGCTAGACGTGTGTGTAACGATGTATCAAGTGTTGACATGTGGCAGTACAGCTAGACGTCTGTGTAACGATGTATCTTGTGTTGACATGTGGCAGTACAGCTGGACGTCTGTGTAACGATGTATCAAGTGTTGACATGTGGCAGTACAGCTAGACGTGTGTGTAACGATGTATCAAGTGTTGACATGTGGCAGTAGAGCTTCACGTGTGTGTGGCGATGTATCAAGTGTTGACATGTGGCAGAAGAGCTTCACGTGTGTGTGATGATGTATCAAGTGTTGACATGTGGCAGTAGAGCTTCACGTGTGTGTGATGATGTATCAAATGTTGACATGTGGCAGTAGAGCTTCACGTGTGTGTGATGATGTATCAAGTGTTGACATGTGGCAGTAGAGCTAGACGTCTGTGTAACGATGTATCTAGTGTAGACATGTGGCAGTAGAGCTAGACGTCTGTGTGGCGATGTATCTAGTGTAGACATGTGGCAGTAGAGCTAGACGTCTGTGTGGCGATGTATCTAGTGTAGACATGTGGCAGTAGAGCTAGACGTCTGTGTGGCGATGTATCTAGTGTAGACATGTGGCAGTAGAGCTAGACGTCTGTGTGGCGATGTATCAAGTGTAGACATGTGGCAGTAGAGCTAGACGTCTGTGTGGCGATGTATCAAGTGTAGACATGTGGCAGTAGAGCTAGACGTCTGTGTAACGATGTATCTAGTGTTGACATGTGGCAGTAGAGCTAGACGTCTGTGTAACGATGTATCTAGTGTTGACATGTGGCAGTACAGCTAGACGTGTGTGTAACGATGTATCTAGTGTTGACATGTGGCAGTAGAGCTAGACGTCTGTGTAACAATGTATCTAGTGTTGACATGTGGCAGTACAGCTAGACGTGTGTGTAACGATGTATCTAGTGTTGACATGTGGCAGTAGAGCTAGACGTCTGTGTGGCGATGTATCTAGTGTAGACATGTGGCAGTAGAGCTAGACGTCTGTGTAACGATGTATCTAGTGTAGACATGTGGCAAGTGTAGAGCTAGACGTCGTGTGTGGCGATGTATCTAGTGTTGACATGTGGCAGTAGAGCTAGACGTCTGTGTAACGATGTATCTAGTGTAGAAATGTGGCAGTAGAGCTAGAGCTAGACGTCTGTGTGGCGATGTATCAAGTGTTGACATGTGGCAGTAGAGCTAGACGTCTGTGTGGCGATGTATCTAGTGTAGACATGTGGCAGTAGAGCTAGACGTCTGTGTGGCGATGTATCTAAATGTGTTGACATGTGGCGTTGAGAGCTAGACGTCTGTGTGGCGATGTATCTAGTGTTGACATGTGGCAGTAGAGCTAGACGTCTGTGTGGCGATGTATCTAGTGTAGACATGTGGCAGTAGAGCTAGACGTCTGTGTAACGATGTATCTAGTGTAGACATGTGGCAGTAGAGCTAGACGTCTGTGTGGCGATGTATCTAGTGTAGACATGTGGCAGTAGAGCTAGACGTCTGTGTGGCGATGTATCTAGTGTAGACATGTGGCAGTAGAGCTAGACGTCTGTGTGGCGATGTATCTAGTGTAGACATGTGGCAGTAGAGCTAGACGTCTGTGTGGCGATGTATCTAGACGTCTGTGTATGACATGTGGTGGCGGTAGAGCTAGACGTCTGTGTGGCGATGTATCTAGTGTAGACATGTGGCAGTAGAGCTAGACGTCTGTGTGGCGATGTATCTGTGGCGACATGTGGCAGTAGAGCTAGACGTCTGTGTGGCGATGTATCAAGTGTTGACATGTGGCAGTAGAGCTAGACGTCTGTGTGGCGATGTATCTAGTGTAGACATGTGGCAGTAGAGCTAGACGTCTGTGTAACGATGTATCTAGTGTAGACATGTGGCAGTAGAGCTAGACGTCTGTGTAACGATGTATCTAGTGTTGACATGTGGCAGTAGAGCTAGACGTGTGTGTAACGATGTATCAAGTGTTGACATGTGGCAGTACAGCTAGACGTGTGTGTAACGATGTATCAAGTGTTGACATGTGGCAGTAAAGCTAGACGTGTGTGTAACGATGTATCAAGTGTTGACATGTGGCAGTACAGCTAGACGTCTGTGTAACGATGTATCTTGTGTTGACATGTGGCAGTACAGCTAGACGTCTGTGTGTAACGATGTATCTTGTGTTGACATGTGACAGTAGAGCTTCACGTGTGTGTGGCGATGTATCAAGTGTTGACATGTGGCAGTAGAGCTAGACGTCTGTGTGATGATGTATCAAGTGTTGACATGTGGCAGTAGAGCTAGACGTCTGTGTAACGATGTATCTTGTGTTGACATGTGGCAGTAGAGCTTCACGCGATGTATCTAGTGTAGACATGTGGCAGTGCTAGACGATGAGTGGCGATGTATCTAGTGTGACATGTGGCAGTACAGCTAGACGTCTGTGTGTGTATCTAGTGTAGACATGTGGCAGTAGAGCTTCTGTGTGGCGATGTATCAAGTGTTGACATGTGGCAGTAGAGCTAGACGTCTGTGTAACGATGTATCTAGTGTTGACATGTGGCAGTAGAGCTAGACGTCTGTGTGGCGATGTATCTAGTGTTGACATGTGGCAGTAGAGCTAGACGTCTGTGTAACGATGTATCAAGTGTTGACATGTGGCAGTAGAGCTATATGTCTGTGTAACGATGTATCAAGTGTTGACATGTTGCAGTAGAGCTAGACGTCTGTGTGGCGATGTATCTAGTGTTGACATGTGGCAGTAGAGCTAGCCGTCTATGAATGGCTGTATCTCTTGTTGTCTTGGAACTGGTGCTCTTCTATAAAGCTAAGGTCCGAAAAGCGTTCTTTACACAAAGGCAAAGGTTAGTGTGATTGACTTTAAGTTAGATATGTGAATTAACAACTGATATTTTTAGGATATTGCATAATATTAATAATATTTATAAATATTGCGAGAAAATCATTCCACGATAGGTTTGCAAATGGCACATTTTAATCTTTTCGGGCGGACACACGGTAATAAGGTCACAGTTAGAGAACAGTCAAAATGAAATTCACAGTCAATAACGTGTATGTCCCCCATGAGCACCGATGCATGTTTGACACCTGCGCTTCATAGAACCAATTAAACATCATTAAACCCATCAAAATGGCAGTACATATCTGTGGAAACACCTGGCGGAGTTCCTGAAGCGTGACTGGGGAATTTGGCAAACGTCTCAATCTCCTCTCCATCTCGTCCCAGACGTTTTCGGTAGGGGACAGATCTGGGAATTTAGCGGGCCAGGGAAGGACCTTGACACTGTGCAGCGCCAAGCTGGCGACATCAGGTCTGGCGTTGTCCTGCTGGACGATCATTCCTGAACCATTCTGCTGGAGAAACGATGTAACAACTGAAGTAATAATTTCGTCTCTGTACCTGAGACCCGTTAAATTTCCATTGATGACAAGCAAAGGTGTACATCTAGCACTCGTGTCTCACTCCAAACCATCACTCCTCGCCGCCAAAACGGTCGGCCTCAAGGACACAGTTCCTAACATAACGCTCACGACGTCGCCGGTAAATTCGGGTTCGGTCATCAGCGCGGTTCGAGAGGAATCTGGACTCGTCAGTGTAGAGAACATGTCTCCACTCACGTACTCTCCACCGTATATGTTGTCTGCACCACTGCAGTCGTAGACGTTGGTGACGCAATGTCAAAATTTGTCGTCTGGCAGGACGTCTAGCACGTATCCCGTGTGCAGTCTGACGCCGGGGAATGGTCTTTGGTGATACCCTGTTGACACTAAGAACTGTTCGGGTGTGGTTGGTTGGAATCGTTGGTGCAGATGGAGTGTATGAATCCACCGATCGTTGCGTGGCGTTGTTACAGGTGGACGGCTACTTCGGGATCGGTCTGCAACGTTAAACTGTTGTGCAAGGTTGCGTTGGGTTGTTCCGATTTCCAGCATTCCAATTTCTCGCCATCCTTCATTTTCAGTTAACTGTGGTATATAGAGAATCTCACCCAAGTGTCTTCTGATATCAATTATATCAACACGAGTTGATAAAGTTACAAATATCCGAGGCTTGCCGAGGATATTTTTACTTTATCAACGAGTGTTGATATATTTGATATCAGAAGACACGAGGGTGAGATTCTATTTATCATTCAAAATCACTCTTCATTAATTTTCAATGAAAAATGTACATCTCTGAACATGGTACTGCCATTACACTTGCAGTGCAGCGATGTCATAGCATTGT